ATACTCTTTATCATAAATACTATATAAAATATAGTAATTAATGTGGAAAGAAATTATTACACTTATATAATATTAAATGTTAAAATCATACCTAGGAGTATTTCATGAATAAATAATTGTGCAGTTGTTAAGTAAAGATAAAGAGGGCGTAATCCTCAATTAAGTGGTGACTGGAAACACGCGTGAGTGATAGAGTCCGTTAGAAGCAGCAAACTGTAAAGCTGGATGTAGGGTATGTAGACTATTTCGCTTAAAATTATAATCCTCCTATAATTCAATATTTTGATAAGTAATTTTTAAATTTCTGAATATGTATCAATGATAGTTGAAGTTTTACGTATGTACATATAATTGGAGATATATTTAAAGACATTTTTTATGTATTACAAATAAAAACATTGTTTTTCTTGTATTGATGATAAGACAACTGTTTATCCAAAATGCATACAATTAGTATATTAGTATATATAATTTGGCATTTGTATTAATGGAAATATGGGTTATTTAGGTAAAATAAACTGCATTAATCACAAATACATATTATAAAGGAAATATTTGCAACATTTTGTAGTAGCATATACCGTTTGAATGCAGATTTCTGAAACTATTATATTTTAGCTTAAACGTTTGTTACCAGTTATATTAAATTTTCAACATGAATAGTTTTATTCAAAGTGAAAATTTAATACCGGGATTTACTGCATTGACAAAATAACGTAAAATAAGTCAAGTCAAATAGTTAACGTAAAATAAATAAATCTGTCGGTTACGTTTCATTTGATGTCAATATATTATTAATTTATTAAAAAAATTATAAATCTACCATGAAATACGCATAGTTTACGCCATTTAATCAATTTTTACAATAGTCATGCTTGTAAAATATTTGTAATCGTTTATAGTTACCCATATTCTTGTAATAATCTATTGCAATGTATACCATTGCAATAGATTATTATTTTTACTCAATACACTGTTAACTATATATATTAGTCATCAAATCTGACCTTGGCGTTTGTTATAATAGTCATGGCAAACGATAGTGAATGGCAACAAATATGTACATAATAACGAGCCGAGACAATAGTAACTAATGTCTATGCTTTAACATTCTACATACATAAATACCAATTATCGAGCACTCAGGCAGTAACACGGCCTTGTTACACGATACTTGAGTTTATCGACAAGTGCTTGTAACGATTTAATTAAATGAACTTCCTCTATTGAGTTCGAATATCAAATAATCTCATTACACTACGCATTTGTGTTTAATGAAGTAAATCAATTAGCCGAGTCAAAGTTCCCACTGTTAGTTAAGAGTATTTGTAAAGTCCTGCAAATGAAACTTTGCAAAAATTAAACTTTGGAGGATCGAAGCGAAGCCAGAAGCAGTGGGTGCCGCCCGCGTTCATTTGAATTACTCCCGCTCCGCCTTTTGTGCTCAGCTTCATTTAGCGAACTTAAAGGAGACTCTTTTATTTTGCCCTTGCAAAGGACTTAAGAGATGCATTGTTGAATCTGTAACAAATTGCACGCCATGATTACGTTAAGAACTCCACCGTCGAATTGACGCGGAGCTTAGATTGGAACTTCACGTTTATGTACCTTTCTTCCGACTGCAACCAATTGTATCCTAATGAACAATTATTGCATCTTGGTGTTTTATTTTCCTTGCTGTGTAAATGTAATATGCATATTATATATTTGCTATTGTATATTTAATAAAACAAGTAGATATTCATACATTAAATTGCTATAAATAACAAAATATACATAGACATGAAACCACTGAATTTAACTTTTAAATAATTCTAATATATCCAGAGCCATTTGTAATAAACTATACTGATTTATAAACTAGCAGTGGGTGGAAATATTTGTATCACGTGAATAGAGAAAGCCTGCAGGCAAGTTGTAAACAGAGCTCGCAACAAGTGTCTATGTAAACATTTTCCATCATGTAGACATATTGGCGTATTTGCTTTTAAATTCTTGCTTTAGAAATACAGTTGTGAATAAGCCAGATTTACAATTTAAGATTTCTTTTGATAAAAACTATAAGATACTTGTGATAAATATAGTATAGAACTAATTTGTGTAAGTTATATGTCGGTATTGATTGCAAGAAAAAGAAATGCGAATAAATAATTATTATGTATAATATACAAAACAAAATAAAATGTAAAGTTAAATATATTCTTCTAGTAAATTTTAACACATGTGTATAGAATCATATCTCTAAAAAAAATAAAGGCACCTAACAATGTCATTTAGGCAGTAACATGAAAATATGTATATGTACCTATCTACTATATATATAATATCTACATTTATATATTTTGTTGCGGTTAAAAGTACTGACATTTACACGCTAAGTTTTGTGCACAACATAAACCCAAAAACTAGTCTAACACTCGACTATCGTTTATGAATTTCAATAACTAGATATTCTCAAAGGATAAAATATAAAAAATAGTACGTGTACGTAGGGCATTAGGACAAGAAAGGGTTTCGGAAGGGAGTAGGGAGCGTCACGAAGTCTGCCCGAGGCAATTTGGTACCAAATGTCGTTCGCTACGTGCGCCACAAATAAAGAGGATGGGATAAAGCCCCCGTATTACATTAGGAACTGTTAGGCTAGAAACGTCGGAATACAATGTGACTTGTGTGTTTTGTTTCGAAATGAAATATCTACGCCGACGTAATTGAGCGTCTTAATAAATAATGATTATTCGAAAATTGAATGGAATATAGCAGTATAACAGACACCTATTTTGTACAGATAATTCTACGCTTTTGAGATAACAAATACATGTTTGTAATCTAAATGACAATACTACTATTCTCTATCAGTCTAAATATATCGCAACTGTCGATAGATATCACGTCTTAACGAAAAGTAATCGCCAGGACCATTAATTTTCTTTCCAATATAGACGGCAGCCCTCCATAGGCCTGCTTACTTAATTTTTCTAAGTGCGTATCTATTTTTCACCCTTGGCCCTGACATCCCTGTGTTCGCGTCCCCCACCTTAAGATTTACGCATTCGACGCTAGCAATAAGCGACTACAGTAGCGGAGTCCATGTATTTTAAGAAGGTAGATCTTATGAGAAATTATTTACTTTTCTCAGAGAAGTTATATATGACAGTTTATATTTTCAAGAAGTTATTATTCGTATCCCTGAGTTTCCAAAAAACAACATCTATATGAACAAAAATATGTCTGCTTACATACTTCCATGCACATATCTATTACCTGTCTAATAGAACTGAAATAGCAATTACATAAATTTAACATGATGGCATAAAACTTAACATTGAATTCACTCAAAACGTAAGCAAAATTTTACCGAATTAATAGTAATAGTATGTAATATTATCTTATCTGTGGTAATTGGTTACTACCAAACTAAACTGGGCAATATAAATTAATTAGAAACACTGTGATGACATATTTACAGTATTTTTTTTATATTATTTATAATATTTTTACATGTCATCTAGTATTTTGAACTTTCATAAATTGGACTAATACTATAATATGGACAGGGTTATCTTTTGCATACTCTGTAATTATTACTGCCCAAATGTAATTCAATAATAAATAAGTATTATAAAATATTTGGTGAATAAAAACATTTCGTCCTTTCGCTTATAAGTTTATAAATAAAGAAACATGTAAATATGAATTTTATTCCAGAGTAAATGATATACATCAGAGGCTAGCCATTTACTAATGTAAAAATTTTGAGTTGGCCCGGTCGTAAAACCCATTAGCACGTATTTCGGGCCCACACTCTGTCGGAAGACCAGCTATATTGGGGTAAAAGGGAAAATGCATTGGCTTTTTGTAATGTGGCAATAACCTGAGGATTAGGACCGTCGGTGCCGTAGAATATTCCTCTATTTTCTGCTCAACGCACTTAACTGCACCCCGACATGCTTATACCTATTACGGACAATCTTTAACGTTAGGTCGTGATCCTAAATGTTTATATCTATAGGCTTGTGAACAAATATGACGCATATAAGATTGCTTTCACATTTCAGAAGAAAGTCCGAAGTGAGTATATTTTCACTTTGAATTTTTAGTACATGTACTTGAATATATACTTAAGTAGACGCATATGCAATTTGAAGTACAAAATATGTATTGTTTCCTGATAATATATTTTATTTATTAAAATTAAATCGTAATAATAATAATAATAATTATCATCTCAAAATAATATGGCACCAATATAAAATACAACTTACCAATTGTCAGAAGTAAAACAAGACCGTTGATTTATCCGAATATATCACTTACAAATTATGTATATTAAGAAGTATTTGGTAAAAAAAAAAGTTTTTTATGTTTACTCATTTGTTTAAATCAGTACTTACTACAGTATCTAATTTATTAGACGAAGAAGGTACAAGTGTTGCAACGGAATGTTGTCATGCGCGTAGGTACTCGACCACACCTCAGAACGAGGCCGGCCCGCTGCGCTGCAGCATCCTTGAAAGGCCACATTCCTTTAATATCTATTTACGGTCTTAGTCCTCATTTCTGATATTGCATACATAAATGTTATTTATCAATCTAACATACCATTTGCAATATTTCGTAACGGCATCATAGTTTATTCTTGAATAAAATTGAAAGTATTTGGTCGCAACAATGGCCGTGTTGATTAACTGTATATGCACTTGATCTACATTCCGTCAATTACATATATTATATTTAAACATTCTCTATTTTATTCTTTCTTATTTTATTAACTCGTGTCTCTTTCCTCACATCAATACATACATTATAATAATTAGATCCATATATGGCTTAACTTTTTGTAATTGGATTTTAAGTTCTAATACATCACACATATCACATATGCCTTCTTCTATGCATTTGTCCTTTTTGTATAATATAATACACGCGTATAATTTATATACACGCTATATCTATTAGATTACATTTTATGATATTACATAATTTTATTTGCATGGTTTCAGAACATCTTGGATAAATTTAATCCAGGAGCCCGTCAGATGATCACAGCTGGAAAGGCATATCTAAAAGCCTTGCATGGTAAGTAGATCTCGAATTGTAATAGTTCATGCAATAGTGTTAACCCGGGGGTACAAGCGTTGGATGCTAGGGGACGCATCGTGCTTCTTTTCACCCCTCTGTTGCGCTAAACTTTCAAGTTTCAATGGAGTGGGGTAGCGAAGAGGCGGACTAATTTTTATACCCCGCGGCAAAGTTTTATGATACCATGTACAAGTAGGTATAATAGGTTATTATAAGCTTATATACATCTCACAAAATTTACCAAAGGAGATTGAACAAAGTGAGCTAGATTGTTGGCAACATTCACTTAAGTATTGCAAATGTCCATGAACACGAGCCCTGAATGATTAGTCGTCTTATCCATATAAAATACAGATTTTTTTAGGTGACTGGACTAGCAAACAGGCTGATACCTTTTGGCAAATAATAACCATCCCCTATATAAGAACGCCACGGACGTCATGTTATTATGTGACGCCTTTAGTATCCCTACATATGACTAAGATACTACGCTTCTGAAGTCTGTAATTTCACTACTATATTTCATCCTCCAACCGAAATACGGCTTAGCTAACACTACATGTATATGTAGGTAGTCTAGATAGTATTCACCAGGATATCTTCCTTATTAGCAAAAAATAAAATGTTCATAAATCTGTAATATATTAATAGATGCAATACTGTAGTAATAGATGTAATATTCTAATTACTGTTCGATGATTATTTAGATATTCTAACTAGATCATAAAGTAAAATGTGCTAGCATACCATGCATTCTCTATCGATATCGTATTTACCTGAGGTCATAAATTTCAAGTAACACAATTATATATTATGATACTAAAAATTAAAATGAAGTTAGCTGTTTCAACTGCCAGTTTTACTCAAATTTTAAATGTGTAATTTATAAACACTAGTGTAATTTATATTATTTTTACACGGAAATATAATATATTGAAAAGGAAATTTACTCATGTAAGTAAAACTTATAAAAGTGACAGGCGTAAAGTCGACCGTGCTAGTAAAATTTTTGGGATTAAAAACATATTATACGCATATTACTACGCTTCGTTTTGCTTACGTACTTATTAGCGGTATTATTTTCTTACAAAATATATATCTACTAGGTATAACTCAACTCTCAACTCAACTCAACTCAACATTAATAAATCTGACTGACGTATACTCAGTGAAACGTAGACAATTAATTTATTTACTGTAAGCCAAATAGGCGCATCTATATGCAAAATCCAGTGTTACTTGGATACGTAACTGGGGCGTAGTTTGTGCCAAATCGTCTCTGTTGGCTTATCTACAATGTTATGCCCGAAGCTTTAGCAGCAATAAACTTGGGCATTCCGGGGATGTATGGCCCTTCGAGCCTGTTCCTTTATTTTACCGGCTATTTGTGGTTAATTCGTCTCATTGTACAACACTTTAATTACCCTAATTAATAAAGGACGTTGGAGCCTTAAAGAACACGGCTTTGAATACTACTGGTTCATATTGAATACTACTCTATTTTCCATTCTGTTCATAATATTACAGTGTAATAATATAAATATATGAAAATTTTATTTTAATAAAGAATCTCCAGAATATGATTTACTCTTAAAAAGTGCGTTTGGTAATTATCGACGTCAGGTATGGGGAATGATAAACAGTAATCGTTTTAGTAGGTCGTTTAGGTGTTAAAATAAGGGTTGTTAATTCTTAGATATTATCATACTAAGTACTCTTATAAACAGTATTAACCAAATTAAAAGATAAACATAAATTAAAAACGCGGAGTCATTTATTTAAGCCTAATGTCTTTGGAGGTCGCTTAAAATGTCCAAATAGGTACTATTTAAAGTTAATCGAGTTCATTTCACGTTCACATAACGATCATTATTTTTAAAGTCTTGAGAGACTCTTTGCATTTTTTATAATGCTCTATAGATTCCTAACTCTAAAGATATTTTTTAAAGGATCTGTCCTGAATATTTTACTATAAATTATACCAACGAAAAAAATCTTCTTCGTAATCGTAATTACCGTATTCGGAACTTGTAGACGTTAAGGAATGTTGTTTTGGGTTGAGCTTAGCTATTAACCGAATTTTATGTAGCTAGTAGATAAATCTGTTTTGGTAAATTGCCTGCAGTATTTTAGGATTAAAATTAGAACTGTTTATATCGTATTTTCTTTGTACACATTGCATTTTAAGATTTTGCCAGTATTGTGTATGTTCAGATGTGTTGTATTACCTTAGATATTTAGTAATTTGATGGCACATGCCTAAAGATTACTTTGCTATAAACAGAATTTTTATATTTAAATTCCATTATACATATATATTATAATTCCAATATTTGTGCATATATTATATACTTCTATATGTGTATATATTGATGTTAGACATTGCAGATTAAATTAACCCTATAGTCAACATTGCTTAAAACTATTTACTTCATTTCGATTAACTCTTAAGATATTTTTATTAATATAATTACACCATGATTATGTGACTGTGAACTAATGTCTAAACACGTATTCATTGTCTCTAGTATACTATATTATAAACATATATCATAACATGAAAGAAATGTGTTTACAATTTATTCAGACGACTGACTGTACAACAATATTAGCCTAGAAACTATTACAGTAAGCTAAGCTCATTTGATTAGTACCTAATTGTAGTAAAGAGAGTTCTATTTTAGTTTTAGCACTTTTTTTTCTCAATATTAGCAATTTAATACTCATAAAAATATTAATATATATGCTAGTTGCTATAGTTATTGTTATGATATGAAAATCTATTAACTCAATTAAGTCATGATGTCATAATGACTAATATTTTATATAGGTACAGTACGCGCAGTACTAAATTGATTTTGATGTTCCCATGCTGATGTTATACTAATATTATTACGATTGTAATCAACTTTTGTTTTTTGTGTTAAAAGTTATTATGTTGGTTTACGTCATCCCGGAGCTGTTACACTTTTTTTCGGACTACTTTTGACCGCAGCTGGCCTTTGCAGATTAACCGGACAATAGGAGGCGAATGCAGATGGCACTCCAAACCCGTGGAAGGACTTATAGAGCGTCTGAAGGCTAACACCAGCCTGACCGTCAGACTAAAATCGTATCCTCCTGAGGCAACTTCCCGTAATTTCGATCCCCGCTTGAATTGGACGGAGGATTGATCAGACTATTACAGACATTATATTTTCTCTATTTATTGTAGGTGCCGCAGCAGCATCGCGGTTGTATGTGGATGCTGTCGGCAAGCTCGGCAGACAAGCCCAACAGGGCACTTGGGGAGGATGTGCAGACATAGGTAACGACAATTGTATCAAAATAATTTGCATTAGTGTAATTTATATTTTTGTACTCGTATGTTATTAATAGGTATGATTTTAAGTTTGACAACACTGATCACTGAAAAGATAGTGTCTATCTATAAGTTCAGATATAATGCCTAATACACACAACATCGTGTTATTGTATCATATTAATAATCGTTTCATTATCCAGTAACCGTTTTTATTATGGATCCTATTATTATTTCCTCGAATTCAAAACAACATTATTTCATTAACGAACCCGGTGGTCTAACAGTTTAGCACTTCCGATGCATGCCTATCGAAAGTAAGGTGCTGATTGGATTCTCAAACAATACAAATATTTTTATTCGTCGATATGATTGTTTGTATTGGTTGAGTATTTTATACATGTAAATTAACATTAAAAATATCTTAATATTTCTTCTTACCATAGCACAAGCTCTGCTATGTTTGGGACTATTAAGCGCATTATGAATTGTCCTATATTATATATTTTTTTATTATCCATATTTACATTTATTATTTGCATAATTTTGTATAAAATCTGCCTGTTTTCATTTAACCCCTCATATTTAGTTATATTAGCTAAAATAACCAGGATTTCATTTATGGCAAAAGCAACATTGTACCTGCTTTAAATTTGCTGAACATATACCTATAAATCCAACGAGGAAGCAACCCTAACAGTGTTTTTTGGTAGATGTTTGTGTCAGATGCTGATGTTTGCTGTGCAAATAGCAAATACTCGATTAAAATTGACAATCATTTTTTTCTGCTGAGCGAAAATATTTCACGGTCCAAACGCAACAACCTCATAAGGTATATGAATTAATAATAGCCTAGTTACAAAGTGGCTTTAGTTTCTTTTTCTGTAACAGGTACAGCTCTTATGAAAGTGGTGGAGGTGTATCGGGAAATTCAAGATCAACAAATGAATATTGTAAGTTTTGAGATTACTTTTATTGATTGAATTTAATAATAGCAATTTCCTTGAATGAAGTTTTTTCTTTTTCGGATAATAATTAATTCAATAAATTATATAAGAAATAATATTAACTCAAAGCGTAGAGTATTATTGGACTGTCTAAAACGGTCAACTACTTTTTCGTTGTTGCAATTCGTTTTCATTAATAACGATTGGAAGGTTCTGGAATAACTATTTACCCACACAGTCATGAATAAAAGAGTTCGGCTTTTTTATGGAAACATTTGAACCGAAAAATTCCTATATGTTATTATTTATTTCAAACATGTCTATTAGATACCTATTAATTTCATCCTGATATACCGTACAATAAATATATAAATGTTTAGTCAATACACAATTAATTTCAAGCATCAGTTATTATGGACTCAACTTAGTTTCAATTATTTTTCCTTTAACCACTGAACACAAACCGTAATCCTCGATTTGTTTGTTTTGTACAGCTGAAGGCGTTCTACGTCGATTTGTTGGTTCCCTTGGAAACTAATCTAGAAAAGGATACAAAAGTAGTACAGGTCAGTCAATACGATTTCGTCTTTCATAATCTTTTATGTATATACTACCGTATTTTCAGGAATTGTTTACTGCGAGGAGGAAATAGGGTACACAGTTCAAATAAGCTTAGTATCTTGTAAGATAAGAATTTCTATTAAAAAAGTTTTTCCCGAGTGAACGACCCTTGCCATATATTTTTTTATACAACTTGTATTGTCCAAGCACAAGAGAGATAAATATAATGACACGTTGTGTAAAGTAGAATGGAGATACGTTCGTATAATTATATTTAATCAATTACTCTACGAGAATGACAAGAACATAATACTTTATCTATATGTAATAGAGACGTACTTCATATTATTTGAAAATGGTACAAAGTCTCAGTAAGGTTTTTCCAAGGCCTTATAAATAGTGTAGTGTAATTCATATTTAAGTTAACTAAATATATTGAATTAAATATATCGCAACTACATCTACGTACCTGTCTGTCTACGATATAGTTTTATATCTCTGTAGTTAAATTCGACTAAATTTCTACTTCGGTTTTGTAGGTAAAATTGATAAAAAAAATTAACTCCTAACTTAGCTATAGTAGTAAGATATGATTGTATTTGGAATTGTTATCAAGTAACTGTTGAATCATATGGAGCATAAACAAACCTATTGTATATTACAAACATTTTTTATATAAAATTTGCATCTTGTTTTTTACATTATATTTTTTTATTTTAGTCTGAGCAAAAACGATTCCTCCAACAACACAAACTACGTTCAGAGAGTTACAGCAAAGCTGCTGCTACCATAAAAAAACAACGGAAGAAGAAGACCAACGTTACTAAAGTTGGCTCCGCAATGGACAAAGAGATGAAGGTACTTTCCTTTCTGAAAGTAACTATGTATTATTATAATTGTTACATCCGTTATACGATAATGACAATATTTATATGTTAGATGGCACGTAGTGTAATAAATCGTGATGGGTGGAAATGGTATGGTGGGTCAAATCCTGGGTATCCTCTACTATAAATATTTAATTATAAGTAGTAATATACTTTTATATTCAATTATTATATTGAATCTTTATAAACATTTTATACATAAACTTCCATCACTTATTCTATTATTGATATCGTTTATGATCAGGTATCCAGGTATTTGTAATATACATTTTTATGAATTCAATAAGAAACAATATTATCAATTTGTTTTACCGAATATTTATTTACATGCTTAAGTAAGTAAATAAAATTTCTCCGAAACTGAGACGGTCTTTGATAATATTTTTATGATACCCAATCCATGTATATGTATGTCACATATTTTATTACAGAATATGCAAATATTGGAAGAAGAAAAGACAAAACTGGACGCGTTTTGTGAGCAAAGCTTGAAAAATGTAAGTATTGTAGGACCGACTCATACGTAACTGATTATATAACTCTATCTTTAATATTAATGCTGTCTTTATGTTATCTAATTTACAAAGTACAGATGTGTGAGGCTTTGACGAAAGCCCACATGAAAAGAGAATCTATTAAGTTACTTACTTCCAAACAATAAAACATATGTATATCACATACCTACAACTGAATAAAAATGATAAAAGTTGGGCTTTATTATAATAATTTTTTAATTATAAGTACAATATATAGGTTTTATATTTTATGTTCTACTATTAATGTTTTCAAATACAATTAAAAGGTAAAATTTTTATAATAAATTAATAAGAAGCTTTTATAATTAGGGTTTAAATTGCAGTTCGGTTCAATTTTGTTTCTTAAATATCTATGATTACAGATACCCACATAAAAACATGTTACAAATAAGTAACATGGTTTTATGTAGGTATCTGTTTAATTTGGAGACATAATTGTTTCCATAATTAATTCCATTATGTCATTTCTGCTGTAATGTCTATAAAAAACAGATAACGTCACTGTAATAATTGATTTCAGGCCATGACACAAGAACGTCGTCGCTACGGATTTGTATTAGAAAGGCAATGTTCGTTGGCTAAACACTGGCTTGCGTACCATGCCGCTGGTGCTGCATCATACAATGCTGGTTTGGATGAATGGCTTGAAGTCTCCAGGACAAGAGAATATTTGCCTCCCAACGTAGAAGCCATGTTCGTCAGCAGGATGAGGGTATATATCTATTATATAAAAATATCGAGTCACAACGTTTGTTAGGTATCTTACTCCTCAAAAACGGCTTAACCGATTTTTATGAGAGTTTTCGTGTATATTTGGTCGGTCTAAGAATGGGACGTAGGTTTTTTTATAACCCTGAGTGATAAGGGTGGTCCTATCCAGCAATACAATAATTTATGTGGCAAAATAGAAACACTAATATTATAATGTAAATTATTTGAACTTACATTACATTTGATTTTTGTTACTACTGACTATATACAACATATGGTCGCTTAGTCCCTAGTGTTATAATAAATTTGTACAACATTTTAAAAGTATGTTTTTACTTATTCCATAAAGCAGAAGATTCGCAACATATGACTTTGAGTTTTTATATAAACACACTAGTGACGGTTTCTTACTCTTTTGTTATTTTGTCACAAAACTAATTTTAATAGGACAAATATTAAAATATAATTAATTAATTTTTGAAATACGAAGGAGTTTTAAATAATGAAAATTTAAATATATTTTTAAAATAAAGACATAGAGTATACATACTCATATAACGAATTATATAGACACATCTGATATCGTCTCATTCTTTCTATTATTATAAATATAAATCAAGTGGAAGATTTTTTTTGTCTATATTTTCCGACCTACTGCCATTACATTTATACGTAAAATTATCTTTATGGCTTCTCGTATCGCACAAACCCCATTTAAATCTGACATTACGGGGAAAATGTAAAAGTCGGAAATTGCACTTCGTATTATATTGTCCTTTTTAACTTTTAACTTTAATGTTATATTTAAATTTAACAATTACATAATTTATTACTAATTTAATTGATTAAGGCGATTGACAGTTGATGGCAGACAAATCAATTTTCTACGTCCGGCTTACCATTTTAGAGCCCTCACTTAATCGCCTATTATCTGTTTTTAACTTCCAAAAAGAAGAGGCTATCAATTTAAGTCTATATTTTGTATATGTTACGCGATATCTTTGCTCAAACCGGACGGATGCTTATATTTCTTTGTAACCGATAGAATTTAGTCTCCATTGACAGAATTTACTTTATAGCGATACAAATAATTGGTTGTTGCATAGTACAAAATTTTTAATTTTATATCTTTTCAAACCTTATTAATTTTATTAACAGCAAGTTTCGTTCTGGGCTGATGAAGAAGTATATGCCAGTCCTCGAACGGGGGATGATGATGACCGAGCATCTGTTGGCTCCGCATTGAGGAAAACACGTTCTGTAGACGCCTCGTGTCTTGATATTCGATCAATTGGTGATTTGGGATCGCCTGCTCAAGGTCTATCAAGGGCCAAATCTGATTTCAATCTACAAGCAAGCTCTCACATAGCTGATCAAGGTAATTTATTTATCTAGAAAAATAAATATTAAAATTACTTCACAAATTATACAAAAGAATTAATTTAAAATTCATGTATTTAATTAAGTAACATTTTTGCGGTTGTTACAAATGTGAACAACATTATATAATCAGAATATTTACCGTGATACGTGAACGGTTTTAAAACCATCCTGATCATGTGTCGGCCAGAATGAAAGCGTCAATCCGAATACTCAGAACACCGTTAATCGGGAGCTCGTAAAAATATAATCATGGCAAATATTCCGTTTGTATAATATGTGAATATTTAAACATAATAAATCTATATTTTTTTCTACATTGATAAAAAATGAATTGCAGAGACTGACCCCCGCACGGCAATACGACCTTCATCTCTTGCACCAACAACTTGTACATCTCGAGATCCACCTTTAGCACGAGCATTGTATGCTTATGCAGCCGCTGGAGATAACCAGCTAAGTTTCCAGCAAGGAGATGTCCTTGCTTTACTCGGAGAGAGAACAAAGGGGTGGCAGTACGGGGAAAATTTACGCACACATCAAGCTGGATGGTTCCCGCTGGCGTATACAGAGTCGATAGCCAATGATGAGCCAACGTAAGTTATTATTATATGTATATAGTTATTGCGTATTTATAAAGTTTTCGTTTGTCATCGATCTATTGGAATTAATTCAGTTTCCTGCATAATTATAATATAATCAGTATTTTTATGTGAATTAAAAGGTACTCATACATATAGTATAACAGCGAGGTATATGCGTGAACTCTATCTCTCTATCTTTTTGTATTCATATTAACTATAAAATTGAAAATGTTTAGTAGCATTCTTATGATTGTTTGATATAATTCAATTGCATATTGAAACACCATTTTTTAATCGTTTTCAAACGCACGCAGGTTTTCAATTCGACTGTATTTTTGGCCCTACATTACGCCATATCTTTGCATCGGTTTCCATAATTCATTTTACCAGAGGTAGACAATAATAGTTTTCTGCCTCGGTCTCGCTTATTTCAGCCGCCCACCAGCTATCTTGCTTTGCAATTAGTGCAATTATGGGATAAATAGCATGATATCTGACATCTCAGTCTCCTAAATTACAACATAGGAGTGGTGTCATCGGTGTCACATAATTACGTGATGTCTGTAGTACTGTTTAAGCATGGCAACGGTTACCATTTACCGTCAGCTTGATTTCTATTTCATAAAAATGCAATTCAATAAAATTGACAGCAATCCTTCACTGTCACAATAGTGTTTGTAAAATACTTATATCGATTTACACCTTTTTTTCTTAAAGACTATATTTTGCCAATTTTACAGCAGTAGTTCACCAGCTCGTTGGGGTTGCGCACAGACTCCTAGCGAAGCGCCGCCACCTGCTCCGATTGCCCATGCACAAACAACACCTAGCACTCCATCAGTGCATGGTCATCCGCCAACTCGGATGTTCGGGGACACAGTCACTGCTCACCATGTTAACAAGGTATATTGAGTACCTGTCTAATATTTATTCTTCTGAATCACTTTGGGTACGTGATGAAAGTATATAGGTAGTCTGATTTTGAAGTGCCTGTCCCTGTTTATGATTTAGAGTAACTTTCTTTAATTTTTATGTTATCACTAATTAAATAAAATGGCAATGTATTACTACGCTAGTTCTACTTTACTTCCCTATAGTTTGTATGACATTCTTGAGACAAAAAACGATACTCGATTGCCACATGGAGATTTCGATATAAAATTCAAGCTAAACAGTATATTTATTTTATAGGGTCGCCTTGGTAGTAGCTCTCCAGGGCTACCTCCTACTCTTCCGGCTCCATCACCAAGCGCTTTGAGCACCTCAGCTAGTGCCACTTTCCATTCACCTACACCAGTACCAGTACCGAGCGCCATAAAAAATTCTACATCTTCTGCCAGTTTCACCACTCATGCTGTCATTGAAACAAGAAGTTTTGGACCCCAAACACTGCCAATGCGTTCTCAGGTAAATGTTTTTATATTGTATTATAATATATATTATTAGTGAAATGTAATTATTAACATATTCTATAATATACTTACTACACTGTGTACATATCAGTTAGTGCTGTTTCGATTGAATTAAATTATATTTTACCAATGACAACTGAACAATAATGGAATAATATTGTACAATAATAAATAAATAATATTTTGGAACATTATTTATTGTTTTTCTGTACGTATATAATACGTGTTGATAATATATTCTTATTATAGACCGTTTTATACCACTGTAATAGTAATTTTATATTTAGTTCTAAATAATTATGATACTGCGTATATTTCTAAGTACTAATTTACATTCTAATTTAATATTTTTTATTTGTTATATAAATACAAATGTTTCAATAAAGATTATTTCTATATATAAAATTTCTACCTTAGGTAACGCAGAATAAGGCTGGTCCTGCTAAAACAGTAGTGACGGCTGTAGGTGCTGTAGGTAATGTATCACTACATAGCTCCAACGACTCTGGCTTTTCTAATGAGCCCCCACCACAGCCTGATATTGATTACAGCGATGAAGAAGCTCAACGACTGCGAGTCCCTATCAGGTATCTTTATAATAATGAATATGGTAAAGTTGGGTTTGCTTGCGTATATTATTTAATTTATTTATAATTTGCTAGCCAGCTAGTTTTATTTATTATTTATTTTATATTTTATAGTAAAGCTGCTCAATCAATGAATGACCATAAAGCTTATTTACTGAAAACACAAAGCTTGAGGCGTGGCCCAAAACCTCCCAATGCAAATGGGTATTTGACAGATGACCAACAATTAATGTTACGCAACATGTTAGATATGGATAAAGATTCTCAAAGAGTTAAAAGAACAAAATCATTCTGGAAATTTGGCAGAACAACTTCGGAAGAGATTATGGAGGGTATGTCATTATGGCAACATCGCGACATTGTGGATACAGTACCAGAATTCAAGAAGAGATTGTATGATAAAATGAAAAAAGAATTAAGACCTGCACCCGATGTACCTGATTTAAGAAAACAGGGTAGTCCTGAAAAAATGCCTATTCCCGAAAATTCACACCAGCGGCCCAAGGAAACAATTGACAGAAAGGAGGTTAAGATTACTAATGGAATACGACAAGCCAAAAGTTTAGGCTCTATACAAACTGAAGAGCATACTGAAAGAATCAAAAAGGGTAGCGAAAACTTTCAACAGAATCAAACAATGACGAAGAAAAGTATTTCTGAAAAAGCCATAGCTGAAGAAAAACATGAAGATTTCCTTCCACGAATTGAATCCAGGCACTCTGATTTGACTAATACTAGTACTATAAAAACAAATTTTGAAAATAGTTTTTACAATGATGAAAACGGAGAAGGTTTCGTAATGAAAACTGTTAAACGTAGAGAGATATTACAAAGATATGATAATGATAGCAGTTCTGATGTAAATTCCGTTGCTTCGAGTACCGATCCTTACGACTGTATAATAGTAGATGATCACATGACATCTCGGAAGCAACAAGAACTTGATAGGCGTCGTCAAGCACAATTAATGGAAGAAGAAGTAAAAAAACGTAAAGAAAATGCATATATGCCTGAATTTGAGGAAATTGAAATTACTCCGATAAAGCCCCATATTCGAGCTTCAATGATAACAGAAAATTCAAAGAAACATTCTCATGAACGTACTCCTCCTAAAACTATGGAATTCAAAACTTTTAAAGACAATTCAAAAGAAATCAAAACATTTTCTGCATCATCAGAAACTTTAAAGTATAAAGATAATGAACAGCATACAGATCGCTATGGTATACCCACAGAACGCAACAATAATGAAATACACAATGACGAACATTACAATGGGCATGACGAAGGCACTCTTAAATATAAAAAACGTTCAAGCAAAGAAGAAAAAAATCGTCAACAAAATGTTTTTGAAAATGGAAAGAACCACAAAAAAGATTATCCACAAGCCGAAGTTAGAACTCAAAAAAAGGATGTTAAATCATATGAAAATAGAGAGCCTAGAATTGACTATTCACTGGACAGACGCCAATTGAGAAATGATTTCAATAATTCTAAAAATAGAGTAGATCCACGAAATAGAAATAGAGTAAGTAGGAGTTATGATGACAGTTCATTACCATACCATGGACGAAGAGATGAGAGGTTTTATGAGTCCAATATATCATACTTCAGCGACCAAGAGCGACATGTATCGCGGTATGATTATGAAACTGATTCGAAGAAAGCCGAAAAGTCTAAAATAAGACAAGAAGAAGCTAGACTTGAAGCAAGGCGCTTTGCAGACCGACGCAGCGAAGGTCCATACAGTGAATCTGATGATCAAAAATTTAATGAGGCTTTGAAACAACAAAGACCACAACTATTGCCTCGAACTAAACTTCTTAAGAGGACCGCAGATGGAAACGAGTTACCAGAGGAAGGACATACTTTCGGACCTTGGTATGATTTGTGGGGTCGTGAAACTGCTGTTTACAAATAAGGTATATTATATTTGTATTCTCATTGCAATATTTTCTTTTAGTTTAGTTTTTAGTTGCTTATTCTCTGTTATTGCATCATGTTATATGCGGTCTTTGTTTTTATAATACGTATATTCTTAGACTGACTGTAACGATACCTTTGTCAATTAAATATGCTGACTCTTTCATTCAACTAATTCACCTATATATCTCTTTCACTTAATCTTATAATTTTTTGAACTATTTAAAGTTTATTCCTGGTCCGCAATTCTAAATCGTTTTGGATAAATCATTTTTTAATTGTATAAAGTTTAATATTTCTACATAGATCACGCAAATAATGTTAACGCATTTAAAATACATATTTATATGGGGATCATAATCTTATATTGATAATACTTTAAATATTTTCTTAACATTTTCTTAGTATCTTCCAATATCTGAGAAAACGTGTTTGCTACTTTATATTTTTATATTATTATATAACAATATTGTATTTTATACGCAGGCCTCAACAATTCGCTACGGTGAAGCTACGGAAGGCGCTAACAAATGATCGATCGTCGCCTACCATCGAATAATGATTTATAATAATATAATTATTATTTTGTTACTTAATATTAAATGTAAATTAGAAACACCATGTATTTTGTACAGTTAAATATTCATAGTTTAACAAAGAATATATCACAATTTTTACATAATCCAACAGTTTGTTTATTTTCTATAATAAGTTTTTCCTGAGAATCGTTTTTTAAGATAGGTAACTTATTGGTAATTTAATAGACTTACAAGCTGCTCTCTATAATTTAAAAAGTAATAGAGATTTGTCAGTCATAAATAGGGCGTAATAACAATTATGGTTCTTTATAATAAAATCTAAATAAATCAATAAACATAAAACGTTATAAAATAATTCGTTCCTTACACAAAACTAATGCAATCTAAATCTAGTTAAGTGAATAAATAATATTGATCGAACCCGGGGTCTTAATTCACCCAATCATAAAGAATGGTTATATTACTGCCTTACAACTATTATAGTACTAATATCTAATTTCGTACACAATGAACGATAAACGGCGAGCTACAAATAAAACAAAACATGATCTCCGAAATTGAATAATGCCGGATACCAAGTGACATATGTATACAGGAGAAAAATCAACGTCAATTGGCCCTGCGCGACAATGGGCAAATGATTTATTGCGTTTCCCTCCGGCCGGAACTGACGCGCCGTCACCGTCTCGAAAAAATATTCTCGGCGATATGTTGTGCGTCCCCAAGGGAATGGCCCTCGCCGCCTTTCGATTATAAGGTGACGTTTACTTGTCAGATGTGAAAAGGACAGGAAAATGAAAATCGTGAAAATCGTAAAAATCGAAGTTAAGATTAGGAATTTAATCAAATACCATATTAAACTTCATGTTATAAATTATATTTTAATGAAATAGAAAATATTGAATATTTTATCATGAAATGTATGATCAAGTATTAAAAAACATGTTATATTAAAAATATAAATAAATATACCTAATTACTTTATACTTAAGCTAGATATCCTATACCACGGAACTAGACACGAGTCAATTTGCAAAATATTTATTACTATATTCTAAAGCTCAGTATTTTTAATCATGCCGAAAGGATCAAAATTTGAATACGTTACGGTGTTGTGGTATTACCATGATTTATACGAAAAAGGTCATAAAACAAATAAAAAAAAAGCTTTATTACCTACTAACTCTCCGCTTAAGGAGACGCCGATAACAAACCAAAATTATTTCAAAAGAGATAGCGATAGACCTGCCATGTTTGATTCGATGCGTTAGGATCTTTCCATTATCATCCATTAAATAAATATATTTATAATAATATATAGTTGGATATATCCAACGAAATGTGTTCAATGTTGCATCATCTATGAGGAGGACAATGCCTCTGACTATCCTATGTGGAATAACAGTCGTGATGACATATTGTTATTATTTTATTAAAGCATCAACATATAAAAGTAGGGTAACTGTGATTAAACGAAGAGTAGAATAGTGCTCGTATGCAAACGCCTAGCGTAGTTGATATAGCACAGTCACAGCTAAGATTTTCTTTGTGAGTGAGCCTGTGAAGGTAAAAAAGAGCTGCGATTATGTACCGACCCTACAGGAAGCGGTCTTTGCCCTGTCAAAAGGAACCTTACAACCCAGCCTACACGTCAAAATATCTTTGTCAAGTTAACTACCTAAGTAAGTATGCGAAGTACGTGTAACCACGCCACTTCTGTAGGGTGAAATTTAATTATGCTTTAACTTCTCGCAATATATATAACATTGAGCTTTTGTTAAATATAATGAATGCCACAGGAGAATTCTATCTAAGTAGAATTATTAATTATTCACAAAAAAAAATGTTTTATTATAAGTAGTAGTAGCTTAATGTTTAGGTATTTCCGAAAAACATACTGCCTTGAAAATACGTGAAATATTTTTGTTGTTTCTAAATAAATATAAATAACCCTGGTCAATTACCTACTACAGCGCCATCTAGTCGCACGGTAAACAGAACTTGCGTTAAGGAAATTTTTTTTTTTGTAATTACATAAGTAATATGTTTATTTATTACGAAGACCGATACAATGAAACTCTTCAATAAAAATGTTTACACCGTGCGAGGAATCGAACACTTGACCATTGGAAGTAAAGTGATGTGTAAAACCGCTACCGTACCACTGAGGACGTTTATAATTATATAATAACGGCAATCAAATCGAGCAGACAGTCCTTTGTGATAACATTTTGCTTGACACAGAAAATTAATATTATCATAAAAAATTAACACAGACGCGAATAAGATTTATCAAATGGAAAGAGTAATTAAAATCCGTTTAAAATATATACAAAAATCTTATAACACTAACATAAAAACTTAAATTAAGAATACTATGGAAATAATAGAGTTAAAATTATTTTTTTAAATATATTTGATAATTAATAAATAATATACTTATATCACTACTGAATAGTATAAATATAAATCCTTTGTTCACTTACGCAACATCACAGCGATGACAAACAAACAGCCACGAGACGCCCCCGACGACATAAAAATCAATTTGCAGTGCAAATCGAGCGAGCAGACCAATGCTTTCCAAGTCATCGGTTCTCTTAAGCGCCCTGGCCTGGAAAAATCCACAATTTTGTAAAAAAATATGCGCTATCATTTTAAATGCAGTTTAACTAAATAAATATTATGTTTCATGTAGCAACATCTTGTATGGATTATTAGTTTATTAAAAAAGGCCTAATACAATATTCCAAAAGTTATATTCTAAGACTCATGTTGACGATATACCTATTTATTTAAACTGTCATCTTCTAGCTAAATGATTGATGAGTATTTTGTTGGAACGGATTATTAGAGAATGGTGGTAAATTGCAAGGTGAGAAATGACAGTGAAAGTGATGGAAAAACCAAAACACATTTTTTAATAATAATTATTATTATTAGATATGTATTCAAATCGTGGAATGACTCCGACCACCAGCAATAAAGCAGGACCGCTAAATTGTAATATGCGAGTACATTGTAAACATTCTTGTTTATCCGTCAGAATATATCTGTTTTACAATTTTCTTAACGCTAGGATCAGTAGGTAATGGCATCGAAATACATACATATATGTACATACCTACTATGTAATCTAGATGATAAGCGAACGGGGCAATTTGGCAACGCCACGCGGCCTGTTTCATTGCATGCCAACCCACATGGAGCTCTGCATTTTAGTTTCGCTGCCCTAATTTATGTTGAATGAACACATTATAATCGCCATATTGTTCTAATTTATTTCATACCGGCCTTTTGTACGAAATCAGTGTTAGGTTTTACGGGTTAGATTAAAATGAAATGGTTTCTGATTCATCTCTATATCAAAACACATAATTTGGTAGCGACGTAGTATAATATTATTAACGTTTAAACTTACTAGGTTACTAGGTAAATCTTAATTGTTTAAGAAATACAATTCTAAAATATAGGAATACTCCTACATTTGCTTATCATCGTATATTTATCGTAAAAGTCGATTATCACTAGGCACTTGTCTTTCTTATAATAAAAAGATACAACCTACAGTTATTACGCTGGCAGGAAACATTAGTTTTTATTTCAACGTTATTAAGCTTTATATCGAGTTTTTATATAAATTACTGACAATATGTTTACAAAAAGAAAGGTAAAAATTGTAAATACATAGGTTTATATTAAATACTAATATATCATAAATTTATATTGAAACCTTTTTATGACCTTTTAAAAATATTCTGAAAAATCTATGATACTTGTTGTTCTACATCATCCTTTACAAAGTTAGTGAAGTATTTATGAAATGTGATATTTTCCTCTAAAACTTCCACCTATCCATAACTTTTACGAAAATACGAATACACCAGAGATTAGTGATGAGTGTAACAGTAAAGGTTGAAGTAAAAAGTTGTTTGGTTTCTGAATACCTATATCATGAATTTATGATGGCTAGTCCTATTCATATTAAGAAAAATAAACAAAAATGTATCATTATTTACATTCGTTTCTTTAAGAAACTTGCCAGAATAATGGTCCTCATGATGATTTATTTAGAAACATAGACCGAGTCTGAAAATAAAAGTTAATTTTTTTATTAACATCTATTTAAAATAGACTTTTCAGGTAAATAAGTAAAATTGTCATGGATACATTTAAGTAGTGCATTCATGAGAAACTTGGTTAATGTATTCAATATACTGTACAAAGACTAGCAATACATACATCCTATTATTAACACATAGTCACGTACTTACATGTATATTTTGTTTAATACAAGCCTCTACTATTATATATTTAAATTTATAGAATGCAAAAAATATTTGAATGACATTTTAAAATAGGTACTTCAAAATAAGTTTAAAAATTCCTGCTATTCTTAGCAGGAATTTTTAAACTTTAAACAAAACCACAAGTGAATTTTATTAGTAGTTGCAACTTGTTTGAGTTTAAAATAGGAAAGAATATGCTTGACAATTCTGGCATATTTTTTATGACACTATGAAAATGTTACAAACAAACAATATTCATAAGCTCTATAAAGTTACTCAAAATCAACTTCGTTGGAGATATATTCCAGTTGAACTGGAAACATTAATATAAAAATGCAACACAATGGTCTATAATGCGTCTAGACTAGAGAAAAAGCTAGATTTGGAATTGACAATGCCGCTTTATGGTCCTATCATTTGTTATTGTCCCACTTGTGCCTGAGCCAAATATGGCCTTTTGTGAAGCCAAATTTTAGAATTGCTCCAAATTGACTCACACAGACGCCATGGCTACTGTTCTTTTGAGGTATAATAATTTATTCTAATCTGCAAAATATTCGTGTCACATTCATTTTATAAAAGTTCTTAATTGTTTTAAAATAGTAGTATTATTTTTATGACTGTAATTTGTAACTATATCAATATATGTATATGATAATTAACATCATGATAGTAATAGATATTTTAGTCAACCATTTACGAATCATATAAACAATATTAATTTTTAAGTAGGTATACTTAAAGTACCGTCTTGATCAACGGTTGAATATAATATTTTGGTAACTTACCAAAATAATATATTTTAGTTATTTAGGTTTTCAAACTTGA